GGGCAAAACTTGGACAAATAGCCCTGACCATACCCGTGTCCAGTGTACCAGCAGAACGGGGGTTTTCACTCCAAAACCGAATCAAAACGTCTCTGAGAAGTCGCCTGTCAGAGGAAAAAGTTACTCGGATCATGCGGATTGCCAGCTGTGGCAAGGGGCTGGATACATTTGACTTTAAAGAAGCAGCTAAACATTTTAATGCGATTAAAGTGCGCCGCAAATAATGTGGCTTAGGCTTTAGCCTATATGTGTCAAATAAGAGTGGGAGGACATGAAGCACATCTTTAAAAACCTTAAAAATTCATAGGCCAGTTATTTTTGCTTTGAGATAAGTTATAAGCCTATTGTATTAATTCTATTTTCTCGTTCACTTGTTCAATTTGAGTGGCCTGTAGCAGCCTACAGTCTAATATCTGTGATATAGCCTATGAACTGTATGTCTTTTCATGTTGGTTACATGATGCCACTGGTTTATGGAATGAGTTAAGAGTGGACTATGCTTATTTTAATATTACAGAACGTGTTTGGCTACTCTCCGAATCAAATAGGCTGCTGCATCTATAAATAAACATTAACATATTGCTGTTTGATTTATTTGTTGGTGTTCCTTTTCAATTGACCTCAAGTTAATTACTTGCTTTCCTGTATTGTTCAGCCCATCTCTTCCTGCTATATAATCAATTACACCGTAGGTTTTAAGGTTATACAATTTGCTATCGTTTGCCATATCACGCTCACTACAGATAGGAAACACTTGGAAAAAGAAAACAGACAAATATATTTTTTATTTTGCCCCGTGGAATGATCAGTGTGTCTTATAATGTCCAGCGCTATCAGGGTAAGGCAGCTACGAGCTCAACCGCGTGCAGATAAGTGTCCCCAGGCGAGAGCTTCGACAAAAAGCCGCTCGACACGTTACTGTGTTTTTGTCTGCATTGTACTGACGAGTTGCGTGTGCTTTCATTAGCCTTTGGAAACTTTTTACTGATACGCTCAGTTCATAAGACCTTGTGCGGATTTGTTAAGGCTACAACATGGGCCGTCTACAGTTTTCATTTGCGTAAAAGGACGCAATGTGTGCCCCTCATTATCGTATTTGTGGCATGCAGGGCAGCGCTACGAGCTTTAGATGACATGTATCTGCTTTTCTGCAGCAGAGAAGCATTTACGTGGCTGTAAAGTGAGCAACTGGTTGTGCACATGCACCTATCACGCGCAACGTGTGCTCAATGGCAACGTGCCATTCTTGCGCACAACCATTCACAAAGAGCAAACTAAACACCAATGGGAGAATATTGTAAGCATTAAGAATCTTTCATCCCAGTCCAGCACTTTAGGAAACACTAATTTTCGGATTTGGTCTTATTGCGCCGCAGCTCTCTTATCTATCGGCATTTGCATGCTTGTGTTCTGGCGGCACTTTAAAACAAGGGTTGCCTCAAAATAGCAAGGTATAATATACAGAGCAGACAGGCACCGCATGTTTCATGTTGTATAATCTGGCCATACAATAGCCTTATACAGGCTAATTAAATTATGTCCGGTTGCTTACCCAAATGGCCGATATTTTCAGACCTTGTCGGCCAAAGTGACCGCCAAAAAAAAAGTCTAGCGGAACCTCTGGTTGGGGCTAAGGTTAGGGCTAGGGCTAAGGTTAGAGTTAGGGCTAAGGTTAGAGTTAGGGCTAAGGTTAGAGTTAGGGCTAGGGCTAAGGTTAGCGTTAGGGCTAAGGTTAGAGTTAGGGTTGGGGCTAAGGTTAGAGTTAGGGCTAGGGCTAAGGTTAGAGTTAGGGCTAAGGTTAGAGTTAGGGCTAAGCTCAGGGTTAGAGTTAGGGCTAAGGTTAGAGTTAGGGCTAAGGTTAGAGTTAGGGCTAAGGTTAGAGTTAGGGCTAAGGTTAGAGTTAGGGCTAAGGTTAGAGTTAGGGCTAGGGCTAAGGTTAGAGTTAGGGCTAGGGCTAAGGTTAGAGTTAGGGCTAGGGCTAAGGTTAGAGTTAGGGCTAGGGCTAAGGTTAGAGTTAGGGCTAGGGCTAAGGTTAGAGTTAGGGCTAGGGCTAAGGTTAGAGTTAGGGCTAAGGTTAGAGTTAGGGTTGGGGCTAAGGTTAGAGTTAGGGCTAGGGCTAAGGTTAGAGTTAGGGCTAAGGTTAGAGTTAGGGCTAAGGTTAGGGTTAGGGCTAAGGTTAGAGTTAGGGCTAAGGTTAGAGTTAGGGCTAAGGTTAGAGTTAGGGCTAAGGTTAGAGTTAGGGCTAAGGTTAGAGTTAGGGCTAAGGTTAGAGTTAGGGCTAAGGTTAGAGTTAGGGCTAAGGTTAGAGTTAGGGCTAAGGTTAGAGTTAGGGCTAAGGTTAGAGTTAGGGTTGGGGCTAAGGTTAGAGTTAGAGTTAGGGCTAAGGTTAGAGTTAGAGTTAGGGCTAAGGTTATAGTTAGGGCTAAGGTTAGAGTTAGGGTTGGGGCTAAGGTTAGAGTTAGAGTTAGGGCTAAGGTTAGAGTTAGGGCTAAGGTTAGAGTTAGGGTTGGGGCTAAGGTTAGAGTTAGAGTTAGGGCTAAGGTTAGAGTTGGGGCTAAGGTTAGGGCTAGGGCTAAGGTTAGAGTTAGGGCTAAGGTTAGAGTTAGGGCTAAGGTTAGAGTTAGGGCTAAGGTTAGAGTTAGGGCTAAGGTTAGAGTTAGGGTTGGGGCTAAGGTTAGAGTTAGGGTTAGGGCTAAGGTTAGAGTTAGAGTTAGGGCTAAGGTTAGAGTTAGGGCTAAGGTTAGAGTTAGGGCTAAGGTTAGGGCTAGGGCTAAGGTTAGAGTTAGGGCTAAGGTTAGAGTTAGGGCTAAGGTTAGAGTTAGGGCTAGGGCTAAGGTTAGCGTTAGGGCTAAGGTTAGAGTCAGGGTTAGGGCTAAGGTCAGAGTTAGGGCTAAGGTTAGAGTTAGGGCTAGGGCTGAGGTTAGGGCTAGGGCTAAGGTTAGAGTTAGGGCTAGGGCTAAGGTTAGAGTTAGGGCTAGGGCTAAGGTTAGAGTTAGGGCTAGGGCTAAGGTTAGAGTTAGGGCTAGGGCTAAGGTTAGAGTTGGGGCTAAGATTAGAGTTAGGGCTAGGGCTAAGGTTAGAGTTAGGGCTAGGGCTAAGGTTAGAGTTAGGGCTAAGGTTAGAGTTAGGGCTAAGGTTAGAGTTAGGGCTAAGGTTAGAGTTAGGGCTAAGGTTAGAGTTAGGGCTAAGGTTAGAGTTAGGGCTAAGGTTAGAGTTAGGGCTAAGGTTAGAGTTAGGGCTAGGGCTAAGGTTAGAGTTAGGGCTAAGGTTAGAGTTAGGGCTAGGGCTAAGGTTAGAGTTAGGGCTAAGGTTAGAGTTAGGGCTAGGGCTAAGGTTAGAGTTAGGGCTAAGGTTAGAGTTAGGGCTAAGGTTAGAGTTAGGGCTAAGGTTAGAGTTAGGGCTAGGGCTAAGGTTAGGGTTAGGGCTAAGGTTAGAGTTAGGGCTAGGGCTAAGGTTAGAGTTAGGGCTAAGGTTAGAGTTAGGGCTAAGGTTAGAGTTAGGGCTAGGGCTAGAGTTAGGGTTAGGGCTAAGGTTAGAGTTAGGGCTAAGGTTAGAGTTAGGGTTAGGGCTAAGGTTAGAGTTAGGGCTAAGGTTAGAGTTAGGGTTGGGGCTGGGGTACACAAATTGGCCCTCACTAATTAACAGCTAATAAAGTGCTAATCTAAAGTGTTTACTTTAGTCTGAGAGCTCATGATGAGCTCCATCACTGAAAAAGCTGGTCTTAAGATGTGTAAAAGACGGTAACACCAAACACTGAGAACTACAGAGCCTGGTTCTACTGTCCTCTGCCTTTGACCCACAGCTCTAATGCCACTGCACTCACTTAAAGACCTTATGACGGGTTTGATTTATTTAGAAATACAGTTTTAATACCATTTTATATTAGAAGAGAACTACTAAAGGTTTCAAAATCAGTTGTTGTTTTTTTTGTCTGATCCCCCCAAATCAAAATAACCCCATAGCAACGCCCTTAGAGACGAAAAAACTTCACAGCCCTTGGTGACGTCAGAACGGGTACGTTTCAACGCTGTAAGTTGTTTACAATTTGGTATTCGTTCTTTTTTTGTGGATATTCAAGATGACAAGGCCGTGTACAGCGAGTCTAAGATTACTACTAGAATGTAACATTTCGTTGTCACTGAGATAGTCCAGTGGTTGTGTCGATGGACTGTCAATCCAGATACTTGGGTTCAAATCCCACCTCGGACACTTTTTCACACTCAAAACGGCAATTTATGTGTAGTGAGCAATTGTCACCTGTAGAGGGCAGTATTGTGTTGGGCATCAGTGGAGAGAAGAGAGAAAAGGCAGTCCTGTGGCATAGATCCATGGTTTTCAATGCATGGCCGTTACCCGCTATGACGTCACACACAGGTTAGAGCATAGACAGCTTAAATTCATGAAAAACACGTTCTTTTTATAAAATATTGGATTTTTTTTGCCGGAATCTCTTTCAAATTGACATTGTCATGCAATTTTGATATCCACTATTTTTTTTTTAAAAACCCGTCATAAGGTCTTTAAAGGTGCACTGTGTACTTTTCACTTACATCCAACCAGAAGTGAAATACTGCAGGTATAGATCCAGATTCATTTCATTTCCCATTTGCAGTAAAACCACATTGGAATACATTTGTAAAAGTCCCCTGTGCACAAGACAAGATACTATTTACAACACAGATATACTGTATATGCAAGACTGTACAAAGCTAATATATAAACATTCATTACACTGCATTAAAGTGCTTTATCAGGGAGAGGTTAGCACGCTCTTGCTGAGAAGCGAGAATGCTAACCACAGCCTCTGCTCCAACACTATCCTATCATCTATCATCTAGTCAAATCACTTTCTGCTAAATTTGGATCATAAAAAGAGCTGCTTGTCACATGGATCTGTGGCATGTTTGATCTTTTAATGTTTTAGTTCTTCATCTTTAAATCCCAAAACATCCTTAAAGCTGCAAAGCATTAGCAACAGCAGTTTGGTCTTCTGGTTCCAG